ATCTTTAATCACTTATTTTTAACTTCCTTGTAATTCTCTCATTGCCTTATTATTCCCTGTATAGGAAATTTTAACTTAACCTAGTGAATGGAGATAAATACAGTGTTAATTGACAAAATAATGGTTGAAAGTTAGCCATAAAAAGTTTTTATGGGATAGTTGGAAATACTTTTGTGGCTTAATATGAGTCAAAAAGCAAATTCGTTTTTTAGTTCGAGATATTTTAATTATGCTTTCTCTTGGGTTTTTTTTTACTTCAAATTAGTCAAAAATATAGAGAAACTACTGAAAGAAATCAAAAAAATAAAAGGAACATTGAACCTATTCCAAGTTCATCAAGAGAATTATACGAAAGAAAAGAAATAATCAGAGAAATTAAAAAGAAAAAGAGTGTTCAAAATTTTCAAACATTTCACTTAGTCAAATATGATAAAATGAAAGAAATTAAAAAAGAAATTGGTAACAACCAACCAAGGACTAAAAACATAAAACTACTACATTATTTTACAATGCTCCTTAGGCGGAACTTCAATATTAGCCTTAATTCGGGCAGACAATCAATTATCCCTTATACCTAACTCATTATTGCTTTCATTCATTTACTTATATTTTCATTTTACACTTTGTTGAATTTATAAAAAAATAATATGACGGTTTCTAAAAAAAACTCACCAAACAAAACAAGCATTAAAAAAGAAAAATTCGGTAAGTCATTTGAAACATTAGAAAAAAAATCGAACAGAAATCGAGTTAGTAAAAAAAGGAAAATTGATAATGAAATTCATAGTTACGCTATTCGCTTAAAAAAAGGTGCTGAAATAATCCAAAGTTTAGAAGAATTTGCCCGACAACACGAAAGCGAAATTGGTTTTGCTGAGTTCTCCATGATTGGCTCAGTAGAAGAAGTTAAATTATTTTTTTCACTAGGTTATGGAAAAGGAGAAGGAGGTTATCACCCTGTATTACTACCTGCACCTAGCAAAGCAAAAACTTTAAAAACTTCTCCTGGAAAAATGGAACTATTGCCAAGTTGAGGAAATATTACCTGAAAATTTGACAAATCTAATGAACCGATAGTTCATTGTCACGTTAGTTTAGCAAATTATGAGAATCTTCAAGTTTTTGGCGGGCACTTAAAAGAAGCCACAGTCGCCCTTACCACTGAAATAGTGCTCAGAATTCTAAGCAAGGAAAAGGTATTCAAAAAGGAAGATAAAAAAGACACTA